AGTAGTCTTGAACTTGTTTATAATATCTATGACTGTAGATTTTGGGACATTTGTGAGTTTAGCAATCAAGCAATAAGAAGTCCATGGATTTTTGCAAAAAAAATTTACAACTTTTTTACGCACCTCAATTTGTTTCCAAAACATTTTGCAAATCATTAATTTGTAAACAAAAATTTATCAACACCATTTAAGATAAGAAAGTAAGGTTTAAATAAAAAAAAATTAAATAAAAAGGATTTGTGGTTTTGGAGAAATCTCAATTTAAAGTTGACTGGATTTTTCCGTGTCCACCCGATATAAAAAGTTAAAGCAATTAACCTTAACTCGCAATAAAATTGTGAGTTTTTTTATGAGAGTTTTTTTAATCCTACATTTTTTTACCTATACTACACCCTTCTTTTCCCACACACATATAATAAATATTTATATATATAAATATATATATATATATATATATATATACTATATATATATATACTATATATATATATATATATACTATATATATATATATATATATATATATATATATATATATATATATATATATATATATATATATATATATATATATATATATATATATATATATATATATATATATATATATATATATATATATATTGACCATAGTACTCTATCTGTAATTTAAATTGGATTGTTTCATCATCTGATTTTATTGATAATAGGCACATTTACATACATCAACATATTTGTATTGAAACCAAGTTTAAATAATTTGAATAATCTCTTATGCAATTTTGATTTTCCTCATTCAATCAACATTCTTTTTATTCTTTACCATTCTCCTATTTCCCAGGAATCTATATTTATTTTGATGTTGTTTCTAACTAAACCCTTTATTCTTTATCCTTCAGTTAATATTGTTGTTTTTGGTGACTTTAATGGTCATCACACTGAATGGCTAGCGCTAACCTTGCTGGCTTTAAAACCCCTCGTTTTCTTATACCTCATTCATACTTTAATAAAACAAGTTGTTTTTTGGTGGAGCCAGAGCCAGAGCCGCAAAAATCAAGCGGCTCTCGGCTATCGTGGTTTTTTTTAAAGGAATAGAATATATATTTTTTATTTTTTTACTCTAGACAAACTTTATTCATTTATTGTTTAACATTGAATTTCTAATTTTTCTAACAGTTTCGGTCTTGCCAAAACGTAATAAAAATGACTATTTTAACGATTTTGTACCCAACAAAATACTATTCTTTAATAGTATTTCTTAATATGTTTTATATTTAAAAAAATGAAATTATATATGGAAAAATTACAGCTTTATATTATATTTTTATATTTTATTATATGCTTTAAATTATATTTTTATACTGATACTATGCTGTTAAATATTCGATGCACCATTTAATGATCAAAGGTTATGCATATCTTTAAAACTATATTAAAGTATGCGATCGTTAAACTTGAAATGATGATTTTCCTTTTAAAAGTTGCCACTAACACATTTTTAATGTATTTTTTTTGCGTAATTACTTTAAGTAATTGTAGTATTAATTAAAAACGTCAACAAACGAGTCAAAATGTTTCTATTAAATTGTGATTGAAACAGTAAAAAAAAAACGAAAAAAAGTCTGCACAACAATCTACCTAAATTTTCTTCATCGTTACTTTCAATCGCTAAAGCATGTGAATCTAGCAAAACTATTGTTTGTATGGGTATAAAATAATAAATGAGCTCTCTATCTATCGAACGAGCAAAAGAATCTGGAAGAAAGTGTGGCTTTAAGGATAAGAAAGCAGCAATCCGATGATCATCAATCAAAACCCCGGCTTATCAAACAAATAAAAAAGCCCAAAGGTATAAAGTTTCAGATTTTTTTAAAGATTTAATTTTGGAAAGCAATATGCAGCTGTGGTTTGAGATCTTGAGCTTTTGTCACATCGTCAACTTTAAACTCGGATTTTTACATCAAATAATACATGTAAGCTAGACTTTTGCAATTTTATTGAAATCACGATGTCCCCTATTAGTTCTGGCCTAATCTTGCTTCTTGTCATTATTTTAAGAAAATTGGTACAATATGAGAGACTTCAAATTCATACCAAAAAGCTTGAATCTATTAATCTGCACACAGCTCCGTCCCATTGAGACATTTTGGAGAATTGGCAAAGGATATTTGTGTAAGAGTGTTAAAACAATAAGTACAGCTAAAGATTTGATTAGAGAGTTAACATTAGCAGGGAAAAAAATTGTAAAAAACACTGTGCAGAAGTTGATGTCGTCAATTAGCGTAAATGTTTGCTATTCAAAATAAAGAAAAATATTAATATAAAAAGCACTTTTATAATCTTCAAGTCCCTTAGATTAAACTAAATATTGAAGTTTTTGCATTTGTTGAACTATTTCTTATTTTTTTTAATTTTTTTTAATTTTTTAAAACGATTGCATGTTTTACCCAGTGGGCACGGGACACACAAAAGAGGTCTTTTAAATGTCTTTAGAAAGTTTTGGATGCCTTTTGAACGTTTTGGAAGTCAAAAGACGTCTTTTTTAAGTACATGCCCTTTGGGTAGAATTAGAATTAAAATTTGGACTAAAAACTCTAGTTTTGGGTAAATAATATATAGAAAAAAGTGTTTGTTTACCCAAAACATTTTTCTTTTCAAAGGTAATATCCGGTAGTTGAGTAGAGTAGTAATAATAATACAATAACCGTGTTGTCATGCATTGTATAATGAAAATACAATTCTATAAAAATACATCATTTTTTTCACAAAAGCAATCCTCTAGAGAATAATCTTTTTTATTATTATAGAAAGAAACCTTTTCAAAAAAATATTTTCTGACGCTAAAGTTCATTATTCTAAGATTATTAATTTCTATTTTTTATCACAGAAATTAAGCTCTAAAGCTTTTTGGAAAATCTTTAACAATGTCATTAATAAAGCATAGACATTCTATACCTTCATTAAATCAATCTGATCAAATTACCTTTTTCAATGATATGGAAGAACTATTTTCAAAGAAATTTTTATCTAATTTATCTATTGAATCTAATGAACACACTTTTCCTGTAATACCCAGGTACCTGTTTCATAAAGGGTTATGAAGCAGGTGCATAACTAAATCTTACCTGCACGCTATCAGGAAAACAAGATTCAATTGTGAACCATTAAAATGCACTCAAAAAAACAAAAAAAACTGTCCAACAATTTTTTTTATTTACAAAAAGAAATTTAATATTCTTTGAAAACAAAGTAATAAACTAATAAAAAAACATTGATCTAACTTTTTGCCTCAAACTTAGTGTATTTACAATTATTACTGCAATATTCACAACTATTACTGCAACAACAACTATTATTCACAATTATTACTGAAACATTTACAACTATTACTTCAGTATTCACAATTATTAATGCAATACTCACAATTATTACTGCAATATTCATAATTATTACTGCAATATTCACAACTATTATTGCAATATTTATAATTATTTATGCAATACTCACAATTATTACTGCAATATTCACAATTATTACTGCAATATTACAATTATTACTGCATTATTCACAATTATTACTGCAATATTCAGAACTGTTACTGCAATATTCACAATTATTACTGCAATACTCACAATTATTACTGCAATATTCACAATTATTACTGCAATACTCACAATTATTACTGCAAAATTCACAATTATTACTTCAATATTCACAATTATTACTGCAATATTCACAATTATTACTGCAATATTCACAACTATTACTGCAATATTCACAATTATTACCGCAATATTCACAATTATTGTAGTGTTAAAAAGTTTGCTTAATAAAGAAATAAAAATTTTAAAACAAGCTTCTTTAAAGTGCTGGGTTTAACTTGTTTTTCAGTGCAACAGCATTTGTTTTTTAAGATTTTTTTTCTGATTTAAAATGTTGAGAGACAGGTGTTAAAAAAAAATGAGAATAAAAAAAAGTTAGTATTCTGCTCAACTAAAGTAAAACTGAATGAGTTCCCTGAGCCTAAGGAAGGTTAATATATTGAGCAAAAACAAAACTGTCTGTTTCATCCATTTAAGAAGAATCAGAAGAAAAAAAATGACAGTGGTTTAGAACTTTAAAAGATTATAAAAAATTTTTTTTAAAGTTTTTCCTTGAAATTTTTACATTTAATTTTTAATTTTTTTAAATGATTTTTTCTAAAAAGTTTGCTAAATTTTAAAAAAACATAACTTAAATACATAAATATAATTTAAACAAAATTATTAATACCCCCAGTAATTATATTAGGTAATTCATATGGTATCAGAAGGTTCCATTTTCTACCCTTTTGTATGCCTCGTTTATATGTAGCATTTCTCATAAGTTTTCTTAAATGTTCATTTTCAATGATGTCTCCTTCAATGATTTTTAAGTTTTTGTTTAATGCTTGAGCTAAATTAATTAATATATAGTAAATAGAACTATAGAACTATATAATATATATATATATATATATATATATATATATATATATATATATATATATATATATATATATATATATATATATATATAGAGAGAGAGAGAGAGAGAGAGAGAGAAGAGAGAAAAAAATAAAGACCAACCTTGTTGTTCGGCAAGCGCTTCTATTGCTTTATCTACTGCAGTTTCTGCATTTGTTATTTCTAAAACAAATAAAATAGTCATATTAGAATCTACCAATAGGTAGGTGTAATAATAATATTTTCTGCTGATTTTAAATTTTGAAATCCTTACCTTAGAAATGAAAACATTCTTTTTAGTTTTAAAAAAAAAAAAGGTGAAAAACAGAATCTTTTTTTTGAAACATTAAAACAAGAAAAAATTTTAAATCTAGTAAAATTCTTAATTTATTCTGCTAATTGTTAGCTTCATTTTGTTTTATTAATTATTAGTATTATTAACTTTTCCTATTATATTCATGATTGAATTAGCAAAAAACATAAGAGGAGGAAAGGTGGGGGGGGGGGGTTACAGCAAACTGTTGTAACTTGCCTTACTTATACCAGCTACCATATTAGTTCCATTATCTCTAGCGACTAAATGTACCTTTGTAGTTGGAATAAGAAAGTCATTCATAGAACTTTGAATTGCTGCACTTATATTTTTGGCAGTATGCGATACATTGAGTTGACAAACTCGAAGAATTGCTGATTTTTGATGAAATTCTTTAGTTAACCAATAAGGTGTCAAGCTAAGAAATGAGCATTTTCTGTTGGTAGATGTCCATCCATCAGTTGTAAATGAAATGTATGAAGCATCATTTATTTCTTTTTGAACATTTTGTCTAACTTTGTTGTATATATTTTGAAAAACAGAGTTTTTAATGTATTTTCTACTTGGAATGCATTAGTTAGGACATAAATGGTTTAAAAATCTTTAAAATCTGACGTCTTCTACTATAGAAAAAGGTTGAATATCAACTGCAATCATTTCTGAAATATATTTATTAATCAATTTAGACCTGTGATCATTAATGTCCCAGGGCTTTTTTCTCTCAAGTGTTTCAAACAAAGTTTGTTAAGACTGTTTTGAACAACTTGCATCAGTTGACTTTCTTGAACATATTTTGTTCACTTTCTGCTTTTCTTTTGTTTTCTACTAAATTAAGTTTCAACTCTTTGCTTGCTATTTCTTTATGTTTTGAATTAATATGAGACAACATATTTGTTGTGTTAAAAGACTTAGATTTTTTTTCTTTACATTATAGTAATAAAAGTATAAAGCTTATAAACATTTTAATTTTTTTCTTATATTTTATATATACTTCTTATATATTATATATTATTTCTTATATATTATATATTATTTCTTATATTTTATATATAATTTCTTATATATTATATATTTTATGTAACTTATAAACATCATTTTAATTTCATTCAGCTTATAAACATCATTTTAAGTATAAAAAATTTGCCTCTAAACAAAGTCAAAATAAACAATTTCTTAAAAAAAATTCCAAGTAAAGCATAAAGTTTATTTTATTTATTATTTAATTATTATTATAATGCACAGTTAATGATAAAAATAATGAAAATCGGTAAATTCAGCCGATGCAGATACCAATTCCGATTGTGCAAAAAGTGACCGATTAAGCTGATGCAGATATATATATATATATATATACATATATATATATATATATATATATATATATATATATATATATATATATATACATATATATATATATATATATATATATATATATATATATATAAATATAAATATATATATATATATATATACATATATATATATATATATATATATATATATATATATATATATATATTATATATATATAAATATATAAATATATATATATATATATACATATATATATATATATTTATATATATATATATATATATATATATATATATATATATACATATATATATATATATATATATATATATATATATATATATATATATATATATATATATATATATATATATATATATATATATATATATATATATATATATATATATATGTATATATATATATAAAAAATCAATGCTGCCACACCCTTAATGCATTGTATATGATAAAATAACACTGCATTTAAAAAAAAATTTAAGTAAAAATCCAAAGCATTCCACGACTGTGGCCACCATGTGTGATCAATTTTACACGTACACAGAAATGGAACAAAAACTCTTTTTAAAATTTGGTATATATACATATTTAGAAGTTGCAAAGTAGCTTATAATAGATGTTGGTGCTGTATACATCGAAACCACAAAAATGTTGACCTTATGATAATATAAAAAGCCTTTTTAATTATGATAATATGAAAACCTTTTCTCAATTAAACACCAATTAATTTTTGATTCAAAAATACTGACTCAATAAATTTTGAAACATTCTAAACTTAATAGCACTATGTCAGGCAAGATCTAGTTATCACTAGGGAACTAGTTACTATTTGTTACTACTGACAACTATTACTACTAAGTTGTTTATTTATATTTTGTACTGCCGAGAAAATGGAGTTTTACATTTTAGTATGAAAAGACTTTCTACCAGAAAGTTTTACTGAATATTTAAATATTTCCTAAAGTTTTATTATTTTTGAGATCAAATTTAGTGGTACCAGACACTTCACTGATTGACAAATATTTATTGATAAAAACATGTAATACCACGCACAGAATATTTATTGATAAAAAACAGAAAAAAACATAAAACCTGGTCATACAGCCTCTTGGTTCTCAGCTGATGACTAGCTGATTTCAAATTAAAAATCAGCTTAGTTAAAAATTTGTTTTTATAAACTATAATTTAATTATTTTATATACAACCTGTCAAACTTATTTTTGCTTTTCAAATTTTTTGTGATGAGTTGAAAATTTTCTGATTTACTTCTGCATATTTAAAGATTCAAGATTATAAAATATTTATATCTATTATAAATATTATAAACTCACAAATTAAATATATATATATATATATATATATATATATATATATATATTAAAAGTAAAAGAAAATGTATATTTTAAAATCTAAATTAAATTACCAGTTGGATCCATATTTTTATTTTTTTTTTCAAAAGCTTCAATTGCTTCCTTAAAATGCACCCCTTTGGCATTACTAGTTGCTTTCTCATTAGTTACTGTCTTTAGCAAAATTCTTTCTTTGTCTTCAACTTCATTATCACCACTTTCTCCTGATGAGCTTTCAATATCATCCGAATCCTGTACTGGAGCACATTCTAAACAAAAGATAATTACATATAAAGGTAAAACTATATTAAAAAAACCGACATATATATAGTATATGTCACACTAAGTCAAGTAGTAGTACTATGTATCTCAAATGTCTCAACCCTTTAGTTACTAAATTTTATTTAGATAAATAACCGAAGAAAAATTAATTAAATTAGCCAATGAGAGTAATTAAGGGCTAAAAAGAGCACAAAAACACTATCTTGACAGTCAAAAAATATAATTTTCTTTTAAAAAAAATGTTGTTTTTTCAAGAAATTAGTAATTTTTATATACAAAAACATTATATATTTGGCTTTCAGACCACTGAACACGATAGATGTAAATTTGAGTTATGTGAGTAATGTCACACATCTAATTATCAAAAATGATTTATTTTTAACTTAAATTAAAAACAAGTAAATCTTGTATTAAATTAAAAATAAGTAAATCTCGTATTAAAATAAAAACAAGTAAATCTTGTATTAAATTAAAAACAAGTAAATCTTGTATTAAATTAAAAACAAGTAAATCTTGTATTAAATTAAAAATAAGCAAATCTTGTATTAAGTTAAACTTTTTTTTACTAGTTAACAATAGAAACTAGTAAAAAAAAATTTACTTAAAAGAACATATATTATTGTAATGTATTATATTTTACATCATTAACTGAATTATATTGTACATCTAATTGATAAATATAGAAAAGTGTTTTATGTAAAATCTATCAGTCATCCAAAGTATTAAATACAATCCCTCTGTTCCAAAATATTGTTCCAGTTTGCATTCAACATAAAGAATCATTGAAAATAAATTATGTAAATAATTTTTTATTTTTTATATTGATTTTTATTTTTTTATTAAGATTTTGAACATTTAATACTAATAGAGTTTTAAATGTACAAAATATCCACACAAAAAAAATAATAAAATAAAATTGTATAAAAAAAAAATAAAAATAACATAATTTATTTTTAACAACTCTTTACATTGAATGCAAATTAGAACAGTATTTTAACACAGAAGGAGTATTTCTTTTTCTCAAAATTTATCACTAAATTATTTTTTCTAACTCACAATCTATTTTCAAGACATTTAATCTTAGTTGGTAATGTACTTTGTTTTATGTATGGTTCCACTTTGACAACATCATTAAAAGATGTATCACTGTCTCCAAGCTATTCTTTGTAAATGTTATTGCTCTTAACAATTGATTGATAAAAAATATCAACAGCATTAGATAACTCCATTGCATTAATGGATATTTCATGATTTGTTTGACAATCGTGATCAATTTTCAATATTCAAGTAAATCTTGTTTATCATTCCATACCATCAACAGCAAAACCTTGTCTTTACTATCACTCCAACACACTAGATATGCAGTTACTAACCTAATCAAAGAGACATGTTCTCTATTTTTGTAAGGACATTTTTATGGAAACACATGCATGGAATATGTTTTCTACTACATTAATTTTTTGATTTTTTTTAACAGCAAATTTCATACAACTATCTGCAACATTTTTGCATAAGTTTACATTTGTTTCTATTGATTGATTTTTTACTTAAGAGATAATTTTGTAATTATAACATTGTCTAAACTAAATTTTGACTACAAAATTTATATATTAAAAATTTCTTACTTAAAACCTCACAACCTTTTGCAGAATTAATCAACTTTGATAATTTCTTAAACTTTTAAATAATGTATTAAAGGCTTTTCTAATGATATTTAAATTTTAGTATTTAATAATTTTAAAAATATCATGTAACGTAAGATTTTTCAAAACTCAAAATTGCTTGAAATATCAGACTATGTAGTTAGTTTATCTTAAATCAGAAATTAATGTTTAAATCTGTATTACACTAATCAAATTTATATTACACAAATCATTCAGTAATCCCTTTAATTAACTAACATTATTTTAATTATTATCCTTATTCTATTATTATCATTGTTTACATTTTACGCCACATTTCCTCAATCATCTTTCTTTTTTTTCGGAAACAATGTTTATTGCTACATTATGTGATATAAGAGGATTTAGAGGAAAGAGTTTTTACAAAGTTGTAAGATGAAATAAAAAATAAACATCAGTTTACGGAAACTTGGGACGTTGCTATGGACTCTAATAGTCGCCAATAGTGTTTTGAAGTCTAAAAATGAACAAAAAAAATTATTTTTTTTATCACTTCGAACGTTTTTAAAAACCGCCAAAAAGTACCTAAAATTCTTAAAGTGCGTGAGAAGTTAGGGCATGCAATAGTAAAAAATTTGCAATAACTTTGTCAAATTTTTGTAATAAAAAACGGTCCTTTGAGTAGCGGATTATGGCATACCTACAGTCAAATTAGAGCCAAACTGTGTGTATTAAGATGGAATATATCCCCCCGTCAATGAAGATTTTTTCGAACATTTAGTCGGTCTATTAAAGAATATAGTCTGCCATTTGACAAATTTCAAAAAAAAAAAGAAGAAAAAAAAGCAGTTTTTATGGATTGATCCCTTTCTTACCCCTCCCTCTAAATTAACTTAAATAGGTTCGGTCTCGAGTCAGATTACTCTACCCAAACCTTAAACTTAACCATTAACCTGATTCTCAAATATATTATTATTATTATTTTTTTTTTTTTGTTGAGCTTTTTACGAATTACAAATGCATTTAACCAGGTCCAGATAAGTTAATAAAAAAGGCGTAAAAGCAAACTAAAGGATTGCCAAATGTTTTCCAAATTTTTATCAAATGTATCAAAAACTAGCTGATAGGTATAATTCATCAAAACACAGATTATTTTCTATTTTGATTCAGCAATTAAAAAATAAAGAATTTAGTTTAGTTTTGTTTTAACAGTTTTTTATGCAGTTTCAATTAAACTACACCTTTTCAAAATCTAATTGAGAACATGAAAGTTGCAATTAAAAACACAACATGTAAATAAGAAATCGTAATATGTAAATGAGAATACATAATTTGTAATTGCTAATTCTTAAAATGAAAATGTAAGCTAAAAGGTTTTCTGGAACATTAATTGAAATAAGTTAATAATATCAAATTAAGCTATTGTATGCACCTACAATAATAATGAAATTGAAAGGTCGTTGTATTAATTTTCAACACACTATGAACCGAAAGTCTACTATTAAAGTAAATCCATGTCAGCATTTATTTTACCGAATTAGCTTACATCCGTTACTGGAACAACCTGTCCAACTTGTCGGCATGAAATACAGAAATTTTTGGTCCCAAATAAAAGTTTGCTATCAATTCGATTCGCTGCGGATATTCAAATTTTATCAAAAGAGGTGGTTTTAAATCAAAAAATCGACTGAGGATCAAAACAAAAATATTATGACAACTTATCAAAACAAAAATATTAAGACAATTTAATATTAGCCTCAGCACAACCACAACTGGCAATTATCTTGAAAGCTGTTTTCATTAAAAAAAGATAAATGCAGAATTTAGTAACTTGTTGATGTTGGTATGTTTCACCTGTGGACTACATTAACGAGAATTCGGTTATCGTAACAGACAATGCTCTATGTCACGCTCGTTTGGAAAGCGTGTTTAAAAATTCTCCAACTCAGTTGTAGGGTGGAATGCAAAAAGCAAACTTGAATCAAGCTCGACTTGAACTTTACATTATAACCAATGGCGACAGAGTATGGGTTTTCCCCTCAAAAAATACTCTGCCGCTATTGGTTACAATATAAAGTTCAAGTCGAACTTGATTCAAGTTTGCTTCTTGCATTGCACCCGTAACGTTTAGGACACTACATTCCAATATTAAATCAGGTGAAACAATCTAGTCTAAAATTAAAAGTAACATTAAAAATGTCGTTCGCATTCCATCTGCATTCGGTGCTGGGATTGTCGAACAACGAATGATATATTTGGAAAGAATTGGTACTTTGGCTTTTTTTTTTCTTAGGAGACGCAAATGTGATACAAAATACAAAAATTTAGGTGAAAATTATTTACAAAATTATTTAGCTTGTTTATTAAAACAAAAGACTTTGAGTTTTTAATTGCCAAGTTACGTGGCGACTAAAATTCTAAACACCTTAGTGATTCTGTTTACAAGAATTTGTGAAATCTGCTTTTCAGGCCTTTATTAAATATAGATTAAAAAATTATTATAAACTTAGCTTATACTTTATAAAATCTGTTCAACTTTTAATTACGAGATAACTGCTGCTGTGTGACGTTTTTTCACTTCGTGCATTAAATTTCTATAAGCAGTTTGGTTTTAGTGCTGCTTGTTGAAAACTAGACTAACAAACTTAAAAATACGAACTTGTTGATTTAAATTTAGCTAGTTTTGTTTATTTTGTTTTGGTTTGTTTATTTAAGTTTATTTAGTTTATTTTGATATAAATTTTTATTTAGTTTGTTGTTTATATCATCGCTATTTGGAATATCAAATTTTCTGTTATTGGCGCCCTATTTTTTAATATCTTATTCTTTTGATAAAATTTATTTTTTGAGCTTATTATCTCCATAAGGATCAAAGGCAGATTCATTAAGGAGGGAAGGGCGGGTGGTAACGGAGGCAATCATCCCCCCTCCTTCCTTAGATGTTTTAAAAAAAAATTCTTTTTTTTTTAATTTAAATATTTAACGTAGCAATTGTTTGAAAACGGGAATAATATAGGGTGGCTGTTTAAATGTGATAAAAAAATAAATAAAATAAGTTTGTGTTGTGCAAAAAAAAAAATCAGACTGATAGGATATCGATAAATAACGTAATTTCATGGTTACATAGAATAAGACTATTCCAGCAAACATTCTATAGTTGATTTTTAGTGGTCCAATTTTGGCATTTTGAGCGGACCGCTATAGTTTTGCTCATCAGTTATTTAGTGGACCATTAATGGCAGCCGCCAAAAGTGGCTAGCCGATGAATAACCACAATTAAATTGTCGGAAAGTTAGCGGCTACCATTAATGGTCAGCTAATTCACCGATGAGCAAAACTCTAATGAGCGGCTAAAAAATGCCTATATAGGCAAATTAATAGTTCCATTGCAAATCCACAAAAACAATGTTTGCTCGGTATAATATTTTAATTCTGCCTACTTTATTATATATCCCTTTATTTGATAGTTTGAATCAGCCAAATGACCCCCCTCCCTTTCATTTTTTTTCTTTAATGGTCTGGATGCTCTAAATAAAAAAAAATTAAAAAATCGCTCACCCGCTTTCCTTTACTAGATGGTCTGAATCCGTCCCTGATAAACATATCAAAATAAATTAATGCTTTTATTTTTGTTCAAAAACTTTTACAAAAGCCCGGAATAACGGCTAAAAACTATTTTTTATAAAAAATATTTAGTGATACAAGGTAATCCTTTTACTCTTTTGGGTGAGTGTATGTTTCTTTGCATGAAAACCAATTTTTTGGTTATATATCAGTTTTTATTTGTGCAGATTCGCATTTATATTTTTTCAATTTTTTCAAATTCTTAAAACCTCTTTTGATATTTTTTATATAAATTTTGAATAGAATTTGTAATCAGTGGTATGAAATAAGAAAAAGTAATAAGAAAATTGTTAAAATCTCACTGTTTCAGACTGCTAATTTAAATACACCATTCAGTCAATTAAGTTTATATTTTCAATAACGCTGTTTTGAATTTTGAATATTTATATTAAGTTTAGATTTCACAATCCAAGAAATTCTTTGTACTAAATTTTAGCGGTTTGTTTTATACTTTAGTTCTGGACATATTTTTTAAAGATTTCAATGGTAAAATGATTATGTAAAAAAGAGAACGATTTAAATATAATAATAATATTCTAGTTGGCATTTTTAAAAATAAATTCATTATTTTTATAAATATAAATAAATATTTTACAAATGTTAAAGCAAAAAAAATGTTAATAAAATGGATAGAAAAATATTTATTTAAAAAATACCATTTTTACTGACACAAATTGCTAACCAGATTATAAGCAACTTCATTCTCGTACTTCACCTTTAAAAGTTTAATAATAATTTTAAATTAGTGACAAAACTATTCTACATACCATATTTGGACGTAACTGATATAGTTTCGAGTATAGCTTCAAGTATTACTTTGTGGATAGATTTGAGTATAGTTTCTTCCATAGAAACTATACTCAAATGAAGTAAGTAAATTCATAAGGAAGCCTCCTGATGAACTTATATATATAGATTCATCAGGAAGTTTCCTGATAAACCTACTATACTGATGGTAAAACAAGTTGTTGAAGAATAAAATTAGATAAGTGTTTTTACTAATTTACTATTTCCTATTCATTAAAAACATTGAGCACTCTATATGTAGAATACACTAACATAATTAATATATATATATATATATATATATATATATATATATATATATATATATATATATATATATATATATATATATATATATAATTGTTCTTGAAAAATAAGAAACTTTTTAGATTAACTAATTTTACCGTATTTAAAGACAAACTCCAATTGCATTTTTTTTTTCTGTTTACATTTGCCGTAAAATAAATACTATATTTTATAAGAACAAAAAAAACAAGGCTTCTGAAAGAAGATCAACTGATCTTATCATCAGAACCTTTACAATTTTCTCATACTATAAAAACTGAAAATATAATCCAAAAAAACGGCCGTGATAATAAATATCCCAGCCAACATTAAGATACGGGTACCGTACGGGGCCCATATGGGTCGTCAACTGGGTCCCGTATGGGAAGCCCAACGGTATCCCGCCGGATCATGGCCGCGGTTTCCATATGGGACCCATATGGGTGAGCCCGCCGGGAATCCCGTATGGGTCCCAGTCAAATCCCGTACTTTAAAACCGTAAGGGACCCATATGGGTTTTCAAATGGGACCCATATGGGAAACCCATCGGGAACCCGCCGGATCTTGGCCGCGGTTTTCTTCTGGGGCCCATATGGGTATGCCAACCGGGTATCCCGTGAGAATCCCACGAGTTTTACCCATTGCAAATCTTGCAAAGCTACGTTTAAATGTTTAAAATTTACAGAAAAAGCAAATTTATATATAAATTGATTGGTTTATTTCAAAAAAATAGTAATTAAAATTACACTGTCGAAATTAAGCAAACTTTTAAACGATTCTTTAATGTATCGAATGCTTTCACGGTTATCTCAGGAATTGGAAGTTTTTCCATTATTGTTAAAACGACTTCTTTGAAAACCTCTTTACACAATATCTTGTTTCAATATGAACTGTAAAAAAATCAAATTTAACTTTAAGTTTTTAATTTTTATAGGTAACACATACATTATTTTTAATATGTTATAAAACTCTTACAGTTTCTCTTAACACCCTTCAGATAAAAGATGTAATTTTCACCATCGAAGGTAGAAACAGATAAACTTTAATTTTATAATCGACGTTTATTTCAACGTTTTAAAATGTACTTGTAATAGATAAGCACATGCTTATGATTCGTATAATAAATTGATAACATTCCTTTAGTTACTGATAAATAAATTATATAAAATTAATAAATAAATATATTTTTTTATTTATATTGTATATAATTTAATATACATTGTATATATCTTATATACAGTGCCGTGACTACTACATACAAGCCCCCCTCCCATTCAAAAAAAAAAACCTGTCATAAGGGCTCCAAAATTCTTAAAAACTTATTCAATAGATAAAAAAAAAATCTAAATAAAAGTACTAAATAAAAAAAAAATCCTTACATTTGTAAACGCGCGCCCTAGAAAAAGCTCTGCTTATATATATATATATATATATATATATATATATATATATATATATATATATATATATATATATATATATATATATACTCTTGCATGGTAGTTAAAAAGAGTTTCCCATAAACTGTAGTTTTAAAGAGCGCGTTAATAAACCAGACCAGAAAAAGTTTAAAAACTTAAATTTTTTTTTTTTTTTTTTAATGATAGATTGCCTGCCCAAACCAAACCCTCAGTCGATGTAGCAGCACTCCCTTGCGAGTCAGGCTATTTGTCAGTCGTTGTAGCAGCACTCCCATGCGAGTCAGGCTATTTGTCAGTTGTTGTAGCAGCACTCCCATGCCAGTCAGGCTATTTGTCAGTCGATGTAGCAGCACTCCGTTGCAAGTCAGGCTATTTGTCAGTCGATGTAGCAGCACTCTGTTGCGAGTCAGGCTATTTGTCAGTCGATGTAGCAGCACTCTGTTGCGAGTCAGGCTATAAGATAGTTGATGTAGCAACATTTACGCATGTTTTAAAAATGTTTTTTAAT